CTTCACCACCACCTTCACCACCACCTTCACCACCATCTTCACCACCACCTTCACCACCATATTCACCATCATCTTCACCACCACCTTCACCACCATCTCCACCACCACCTTCACCTCCACCTTCACCTCCACCTTCACCACTACCTTCACCACTACCTTCATCACAACCATCACCACTACCTTCATCACTACCTTCATCACCACCTTCACCACCACCTTCACCACCACCTTCACCACTACCTTCACCACTACCTCCACCACCACATTCACTATCATCTTCACCACAACCTTCACCACCACCTCCACCACCACCTTCACCACTACCTTCACCACTACCTTCACCACCACCTTCACCACCACCTTCACCACCACCTTCACCACCACCTTCACCTCCACCTTCACCACCACCTTCACCGCTACCTTCACCACCACCTTCACCACCACCTTCACCACCACCTTCACCACCACATCCACCACTACCTTCACCACCACATTCACCACCACCTTCACCACCACCTTCACCACCACCTTCACCACCACCTTCACCACCACCTTCACCACCACCTTCACCACCACCTTCACCACTACCTTCACCACCACCTTCACCACCACCTTCACCACTACCTTCACCACCACCTTCACCACCACCTTCACCACTACCTTCACCACCACCTTCACCGCCACCTTCACCACTACCTTCACCACTACCTTCACCACCTTCACCATCACCTTCACCACTACCTTCACCACCACCTTCGCCACTACCTTCACCACTACCTTCACCACTACCTTCACCACTACCTTCACCACCACCTTCACCACTACCTTCACCACTACCTTCACCGCTAACTTCACCACTACCTTCACCACCACCTTCACCACCACTTTCACCACTATCTTCACCACTACCTTCACCTCTACCTTCACCACCACCTTCACCACCACCTTCACCACCATCTTCACCACCACCTTCACCACCATATTCACCATCATCTTCACCACCACCTTCACCACCATCTCCACCACCACCTTCACCTCCACCTTCACCTCCACCTTCACCACTACCTTCACCACTACCTTCATCACCACCTTCACCACTACCTTCACCACTACCTTCATCACCACCTTCACCACCACCTTCACCACCACCTTCACCACTACCTTCACCACTACCTCCACCACCACATTCACTATCATCTTCACCACAACCTTCACCACCACCTCCACCACCACCTTCACCACTACCTTCACCACTACCTTCACCACCACCTTCACCACCACCTTCACCACCACCTTCACCACCACCTTCACCTCCACCTTCACCACCACCTTCACCGCTACCTTCACCACCACCTTCACCACCACCTTCACCACCACCTTCACCACCACATCCAACACTACCTTCACCACCACATTCACCACCACCTTCACCACCACCTTCACCACCACCTTCACCACCACCTTCACCACCACCTTCACCACCACCTTCACCACCACCTTCACCACTACCTTCACCACCACCTTCACCACCACCTTCACCACTACCTTCACCACCACCTTCACCACCACCTTCACCACTACCTTCACCACCACCTTCACCGCCACCTTCACCACTACCTTCACCACTACATTCACCACCTTTACCATCACCTTCACCACTACCTTCACCACCACCTTCGCCACTACCTTCACCACTACCTTCACCACTACCTTCACCACTACCTTCACCACCACCTTCACCACTACCTTCACCACTACCTTCACCACTAACTTCACCACTACCTTCACCACCACCTTCACCACCACTTTCACCACTATCTTCACCACTACCTTCACCACCACCTTCACCACCACCTTCACCACCACCTTCACCACCACCTTCACCGCCACCTTCACCACCACCTTCACCACTACCTTCACCACTACCTTCACCACCACCTTCAACACCACTTTCACCACTACCTTCACCACAACCTTCACCACCACCTTCACCACCACCTTCACCACCACCTTCACCGCCACCTTCACCACCACCTTCACCACCACCTTCACCACTACCTTCACTACCACCTTCACCGCTACCTTCACCGCTACCTTCACCACTAACTTCACCACCACCTTCACTACTACCTTCACCACCACCTTCACCACCACCTTCACCACTACCTTCACTACTACCTTCACCACCACCTTCACCACCACCTTCACCACTACCTTCACCACCACCTTTACCGCAACCTTCACCACCACCTTCACTACTACCTTCACCACCACCTTCACCACCACCTTCACCACTACCTTCGCCACCACCTCCACCACCACCTTCACCACTACCTTCACCACCACCTCCACCACCACCTTCATCATTACCTCCACCACCACCACCTTCACCAACACCTTCACCCCCACATTCACCGCTACCTTCACTACTACCTTCACCTCCACCTTCACCACTACCTTCACCATCACGTCCACCACCACCTTCATCACTACCTCCACCACACCTTCACCACCACCTTCACCCCCACCTTCACCGCTATCTTCACCACTACCTTCACCACCACCTCCACCACCACCTTCACCACTACCTTCACCACCACCTTCACCACTACCTTCACCACTACCTTCACCACTACCTTCACCACTACCTTCACCACTACCTTCACCACTACCTCCACCACCACCTTCACCACTACCTCCACCACCACCTTCACCACTACCTTCACCACTACCTCCACCACCACCTTCACCACCACCTCCACCACCACCTTCACCACCACCTCCACTACCACCTCCACCACCACCTTCACCACCACCTTCACCACCACCTTCCCCGCTACCTTCACCACCACCTTCACCACTACCTTCACCACTACCTTCACCACTACCTTCACCACCACCTTCACCACCACCTTCACCACCACCTTCACCACCACCTTCACCACCACCTTCACCACTACCTTCACCGCTACCTTCACCACCACCTTCACCACTACCTTCACCACTACCTTCACCACCACCTTCACCACCACCTTCACCACCACCTTCACCACTACCTTCACCACCACCTTCACCACTACCTTCACCACTACCTTCACCACTACCTTCACCACTACCTTCACCACTACCTTCACCACTACCTTCACCACTACCTTCACCACTACCTTCACCACTACCTTCACCACTACCTTCACCACTACCTTCACCACTACCTTCACCACTACCTCCACCACCACCTTCACCACTACCTCCACCACCACCTTCACCACTACCTTCACCACTACCTCCACCACCACCTTCACCACTACCTTCACCGCTACCTTCACCACCACCTTCACCACTACCTTCACCACTACCTTCACCACCACCTTCACCACCACCTTCACCACCACCTTCAACACCACCTTCACCACCACCTTCACCACTACCTTCACCACCACCTTCACCACTACCTTCACCACCACCTTCACCACCTACCTTCACCCACCACCTTCACCACCACCTTCACCACCACCTTCACCACCACCTTCACCACCACCTTCACCACCACCTTCACCACCACCTTCACCACTACCTTCACCACCACCTTCACCACTACCTTCACCACCACCTTCACCACCACCTTCACCACTACCTTCACCACCACCTTCACCACTACCTTCACCACCACCTTCACCACTACCTTCACCACCACCTTCACCACCACCTTCACCACTACCTTCACCACCACCTTCACCACTACCTTCACCACCACCTTCACCACCACCTTCACCACTACCTTCACCACCACCTTCACCACCACCTTCACCACCACCTTCACCACCACCTTCACCACTACCTTCACCGCTACCTTCACCACTACCTTCACCACTACCTTCACCACTACCTTCACCACCCCTTCACCACCACCTTCACCACCACCTTCACCACTACCTTCACCACCACCTTCACCACCACCTTCACCACTACCTTCACCACCACCTTCACCACCACCTTCACCACCACCTTCACCACTACCTTCACCACTACCTTCACCACCACCTTCACCACCACCTTCACCACCACCTTCACCACCACCTTCACCACCACCTTCACCACCACCTTCACCACTACCTTCACCACCACCTTCACCACTACCTTCACCACCACCTTCACCACTACCTTCACCACTACCTTCACCACTACCTTCACCACCACCTTCACCACCACCTTCACCACCACCACCACCTTCACCACCACCTTCACCACCACCTTCACCACTACCTTCACCACTACCTTCACCACCACCTTCACCACCACCTTCACCACTACCTTCACCACTACCTTCACCACCACCTTCACCACTACCTTCACCACTACCTTCACCACCACCTTCACCACCACCTTCACCACCACCTTCACCACCACCTTCACCACCACCTTCACCGCTACCTTCACCACCACCTTCACCACTACCTTCACCACCACCTTCACCACCACCTTCACCACCACCTTCACCACCACCTTCACCACTACCTTCACCACCACCTTCACCACCACCTTCACCACCACCTTCACCACCACCTTCACCACCACCTTCACCACTACCTTCACCACCACCTTCACACGACCTTCACCACCACCTTCACCACCACTTCACCACCACCTTCACCACCACCTTGCACCACCACCTTCACCACTACCTTCACCACCACCTTCACCACACCTTCACCACCACCTTCACCACCACCTTCACCACTACCTCACCACCACCACCTCCACCACCACCTTCACCACCACCTTCACCACTACCTTCACCACTACCTTCACCACCACCTTCACCACCACCTTCACCACTACCTTCACCACCACCTTCACCACTACCTTCACCACCACCTTCACCACCACCTTCACCACCACCTTCACCACCACCTTCACCACTACCTTCACCACTACCTTCACCACCACCTTCACCACTACCTTCACCACTACCTTCACCACTACCTTCACCACTACCTTCACCACTACCTCCACCACCACCTTCACCACTACCTCCACCACCACCTTCACCACTACCTTCACCACTACCTCCACCACCACCTTCACCACTACCTTCACCGCTACCTTCACACACCACCCCACCACCACCTTCACCACCACCTTCACCACCACCTCCACCACCACCTTCACCACCACCTTCACCACCACCTCCACCACCACCTTCACCACTACCTTCACCACCACCTTCACCACCACCTTCACCACCACCTTCACCACACCTTCACCACCACCTTCACCACCACCTTCACCACTACCTTCACCACTACCTTCACCACTACCTTCACCACTACCTTCACCACCACCTTCACCACCACCTTCACCACCACCTTCACCACCACCTTCACCACCACCTTCACCACTACCTTCACCACTACCTTCACCGCTAACTTCACCACTACCTTCACCACCACCTTCACCACCACCTTCACCACCACCTTCACCACTACCTTCACCACTACCTTCACCACTACCTTCACCACCACCTTCACCACCACCTTCACCACCACCTTCACCACCACCTTCACCACCACCTTCACCACTACCTTCACCACCACCTTCACCACCACCTTCACCACTACCTTCACCACCACCTTCACCACTACCTTCACCACCACCTTCACCACCACCTTCACCACCACCTTCACCACCACCTTCACCACCACCTTCACCACCACCTTCACCACCACCTTCACCACCACCTTCACCACCACCTTCACCACTACCTTCACCACCACCTTCACCACTACCTTCACCACCACCTTCACCACCACCTTCACCACTACCTTCACCACTACCTTCACCACCACCTTCACCACTACCTTCACCACCACCTTCACCACCACCTTCACCACCACCTTCACCACTACCTTCACCACCACCTTCACCACCACCTTCACCACCACCTTCACCACCACCTTCACCACTACCTTCACCGCTACCTTCACCACTACCTTCACCACCACCTTCACCACCACCTTCACCAGCTTCTTCACCACTACCTTCACCACCACCTTCACCACCACCTTCACCACCACCTTCACCACTTCCTTCACCACCACTTTTACCACCACCTTCACCACTACCTTCACTGCTACCTTCAACACTACCTTCACCACTACCTTCACCACTACCTTCACCACCACCTTCACCACCACCTTCACCACCACCTTCACCACCACCTTCACCACTACCTTCACCACCACCTTCACCACCACCTTCACCACTACCTTCACCACCACCTTCACCACCACCTCCACCACCACCTTCACCACTACCTTCACCACACCTTCACCACCACCTTCACCACCACCTTCACCACCACCTTCACCACTACCTTCACCACTACCTTCACCACCACCTTCACCACCACCTTCACCACCACCTTCACCACTACCTTCACCACTACCTTCACCACCACCTCCACCACTACCTCCACCACCACCTTCACCACCACCTTCACCACTACCTTCACCACTACCTTCACCACTACCTCCACCACCACCTTCACCACCACCTCCACCACCACCTCCACCACCACCTTCACCACCACCTTCACCACCACCTTCACCACTACCTCACCACTACCTTCACCACCACCTTCCACCACCACCTTCACCACTACCTTCACCACCACCTTCACCACCACCTTCACCACCTTCACACACCTTCACCACCACCTTCACCACCACCTTCACCACCACCTTCACCACCACCTTCACCACCACTACTTCACCACCACCTTCACCACTACCTTCACCACTACCTTCACCACCACCTTCACCACCACCTTCACCACTACCTTCACCACCACCTTCACCACCACCTTCACCACTACCTACACCACCACCTTCACCACCACCTTCACCCGCTACCTTCACCACCACCTTCACCACCACCCTTCACCACTACCCTTCACCACCACCTTCACCACTACCTTCACCACCACCTTCACCACCACCTTCACCACTACCTTCACCACCACCTTCACCACTACCTTCACCACTACCTTCACCACTACCTTCACCACCACCTTCACCACTACCTTCACCCACCACCTTCACCACAACCTTCACCACTACCTTCACCACCACCTTCACCACCACCTTCACCACCACCTTCACCACCACCTTCACCACTACCTCCACCACCACCTTCACCACTACCTTCACCACTACCTCCACCACCACCTTCACCACTACCTTCACCACCACCTTCACCACCACCTTCACCACTACCTTCACCACCACCTTCACCACCACCTTCACCACCACCTTCACCACCACCTTCACCACCACCTCCCCACCACAACATTCACCACCACCTTCACCACCACCTTCACCACTACCTTCACCACCACCTTCACCACCACCTTCACCACCACCTTCACCACCACCTTCACCACTACCTTCACCACCACCTTCACCACTACCTTCACCACCACCTTCACCACTACCTTCACCACCACCACCTTAACCACCACCTTCACCACCACCTTCACCACTACCTTCACCACCACCTTCACCACTACCTTCACCACTACCTTCACCACTACCTTCACCACTACCTTCACCACTACCTTCACCACTACCTTCACCACCACCTTCACCACCACCTTCACCACCACCTTCACCACTACCTTCACCACTACCTTCACCACTACCTTCACCACCACCTTCACCACCACCTTCACCACCACCTTCACCACCACCTTCACCACCACCTTCACCACTACCTTCACCACTACCTTCACCACTACCTTCACCACCACCTTCACCACCACCTTCACCACCACCTTCACCACCACCTTCACCACTACCTTCATCACCACCTCCACTACCACCTCCACTACCACCTTCACCACCACCTTCAATACTACCTTCACCACTACCTTCACCACTACCTTCACCACCACCTTCACCACCACCTTCACCACCACCTTCACCACCACCTTCACCACCACCTTCACCACCACCTTCACCACTACCTTCACCACCACCTTCACCACCACCTTCACCACTACCTTCACCACTACCTTCACCACCACCTTCACCACCACCTTCACCACCACCTTCACCGCTACCTTCACCACCACCTTCACCACCACCTTCACCACTACCTTCACCACCACCTTCACCACCACCTTCACCACTACCTTCACCACTACCTTCACCACCACCTTCACCACTACCTTCACCACCACCTTCACCACCACCTTCACCACCACCTTCACCACTACCTTCACCACCACCTTCACCACCACCTTCACCACTACCTTCACCACCACCTTCACCACCACCTTCACCACTACCTTCACCACCACCTTCACCACCACCTTCACCACCACCTTCACCACCACCTTCACCACCACCTTCACCACCACCTTCACCACTACCTTCACCACAACCTTCACCACCACCTTCACCACCACCTTCACCACCACCTTCACCACCACCTTCACCACTACCTTCACCACCACCTTCACCTCCACCTTCACCACCACCTTCACCACTACCTTCACCACCACCTTCACCACCACCTTCACCACTACCTTCACCACCACCTTCACCACCACCTTCACCACCACCTTCACCACTACCTTCACCACTACCTTCACCACCACCTCCACCACCACCTTCACCACCACCTCCACCACCACCTTCACCACTACCTTCACCACTACCTTCACCACCACCTTCACCACCACCTTCACCACCACCTTCACCACCACCTCCACCACCACCTTCACCACTACCTTCACCACTACCTCCACCACCACCTTCACCACCACCTCCACCACCACCTCTAGTACCACCTCCACCACCACCTTCACCACCACCTCCACTACCACCTCCACCACCACCTTCACCAACACCTTCACCACCACCTTCCCCGCTACCTTCACCACTACCTTCACAACCACCTTCACCAACACCTTCACCACTACCTTCACCACCACCTTCACTACCACCTTCACCACCACCGTCACCACTACCTTCACCACCACTTTCACCGCTACCTTCACCGCTACCTTCACCACCACCTTCACCACTACCTTCACCACCACCTCCACCACCACCTTCACCACAACCTTCACCACTACCTTCACCACCACCTTCACCACCACCTTCACCACTACCTTCACCACCACCTTCACCACTACCTTCACCACTACCTTCACCACCACCTTCACCACTACCTTCACCACTACCTTCACCACCACCTTCACCACTACCTTCACCACTACCTTCACCACTACCTTCACCACTACCTTCACCACCACCTCCACCACCACCTTCACCACTACCTCCACCACCACCTTCACCACTACCTTCACTACTTTCCTCCACCACCACCTTCACCACCACCTTCACCACCACCTTCACCACCACCTTCACCACTACCTTCACCACCACCTTCACCACCACCTTCACCACCACCTTCACCACCACCTTCACCACTACCTTCACCACCACCTTCACCACCACCTTCACCACCACCTTCACCACAACCTTCACCACCACCTTCACCACCACCTTCACCACCACCTTCACCACTACCTTCACCACCACCTTCACCACTACCTTCACCACTACCTTCACCACCACCTTCACCACCACCTCCACCACCACCTTCACCACCACCTTCACCACCACCTTCACCACTACCTTCACCACCACCTTCACCACTACCTTCACCACCACCTTCACCACTACCTTCACCACCACCGTCACAACTACCTTCACCACCACTTTCACCGCTACCTTCACCGCTACCTTCACCACCACCTTCACCACTACCTTCACCACCACCTCCACCACCACCTTCACCACAACCTTCACCACTACCTTCACCACCACCTTCACCACCACCTTCACCACTACCTTCACCACCACCTTCACCACCACCTTCACCACCACCTTCACCACTACCTTCACCACCACCTTCACCACTACCTTCACCACTACCTTCACCACCACCTTCACCACCACCTTCACCACCACCTCCACCACCACCTTCACCACAACCTTCACCACTACCTTCACCACCACCTTCACCACCACCTTCACCACCACCTTCACCACTACCTTCACCACCACCTTCACCACCACCTTCACCACTACCTTCACCACCACCTTCACCACTACCTTCACCACTACCTTCACCACCACCTTCACCACTACCTTCACCACTACCTCCACCACCACCTTCACCACCACCTTCACCACTACCTTCACCACCACCTCCACCACCACCTTCACCACTACCTTCACCACCACCTTCACCACCACCTTCACCACTACCTTCACCACCACCTTCACCACCACCTTCACCACTACCTTCACCACTACCTTCACCACTACCTTCACCACTACCTTCACCACTACCTTCACCACTACCTTCACCACCACCTTCAGCACCACCTTCACCACCACCTTCACCACTACCTTCACCACCACCTTCACCACAACCTTCACCACTACCTTCACCACCACCTTCACCACCACCTTCACCACTACCTTCACCACCACCTTCACCACCACCTTCACCACCACCTTCACCACCACCTTCACCACTACCTTCACCACCACCTTCACCACTACCTTCACCACCACCTTCACCACTACCTTCACCACCACCTTCACCGCTACCTTCACCACCACCTTCACCACCACCTTCACCACCACCTTCACCACCACCTTCACCACCACCTCCACCACCACCTTCACCACCACCTTCACCACTACCTTCACCACCACCTTCACCACCACCTTCACCACTACCTTCACCACCACCTTCACCACTACCTTCACCACCACCTTCACCACTACCTTCACCACCACCTTCACCACTACCTTCACCACCACCTTCACCACTACCTTCACCACTACCTTCACCACCACCTTCACCACTACCTTCACCACCACCTCCACCACCACCTTCACCACCACCTTCACCACCACCTTCACCACCACCTCCACCACTACCTTCACCACCACCTTCACCACCACCTTCACTACTACCTTCACCACCACCTTCACCACTACCTTTATCACCACCTTCACCACTACCTTCACCACCACCGTCACCACCACCTTCACCACTACCTTCACCGCTACCTTCACCACTACCTTCACCACCACCTTCACCACCACCTTCACCACCACCTTCACCACTACCTTCACCGCTACCTTCACCACCACCTTCACCACTACCTTCACCACAACCTTCACCACTACCTTCACCACCACCTTCACCACCACCTTCACCACTACCTTCACCACTACCTTCACCACTACCTTCACCACTACCTTCACCACTACCTTCACCACTACCTCCACCACCACCTTCACCACTACCTTCACCACTACCTTCACCACCACCTTCACCACTACCTTCACCACTACCTTCACCACTACCTTCCCCCCACCTTCACACCCTACCTTCACCACCACCTTCACCACTACCTTCACACCACCTTCACCACTACCTTCACCACCACCTTCACCACCACCTTCACCACTACCTTCACCACCACCTTCACCACTACCTTCACCACTACCTTCACCACCACCTTCACCACCACCTTCACCACCACCTTCACCACCACCTTCACCACAACCTTCACCACCACCTTCACCACCACCTTCACCACCACCTTCACCACCACCTCCACCACTACCTTCACCACCACCTTCACCACCACCTTCACTACTACCTTCACCACCACCTTCACCACTACCTTCACCACCACCTTCACCACTACCTTCACCACCACCTTCACCACCACCTTCACCACTACCTTCACCACCACCTTCACCACCACCTTCACCTTCACCACCACCTTCACCACTACCTTCACCACTACCTTCACCACCACCTTCACCACTACCTTCAGCACCACCTTCACCACCACCTTCACCACCACCTTCACCACTACCGTCACCCACTACCTTCACCACTACCTTCACCACCACCTCACACCACCACCACCACTACCTTCACCACTACCTTCACCACTACCTTCACCACCACCTTCACCACCACCTTCACCACCACCTTCACCACTACCTTCACCGCTACCTTCACCACTACCTTCACCACTACCTTCACCACCACCTTCACCACCACCTTCACACCACCACCACCACCACCTTCACCACCACCTTCACCACCACCTTCACCACCACCTTCACCACCACCTTCACCACTACCTTCACCACCACCTTCACCACCAGCTCACACCACCACCTTCACCACCACCTTCACCACCACCTGCACCACCACCTTCACCACCACCTTCACCACCACCTTCACCACCACTTCCCACCACTACCTTCACCACTACCTTCACCACACCTTCACCACCACCTTCACCACTACCTTCACACCACCTTCACCACCACCTTCACCACCACCGTCACCACCACCTTCACCACCACCTTCACCACCACCTTCACCACCACACCTTCACCACTACCTTCACGACCACCTTCACCACCACCTTCACCACTACCTTCACCACTACCTTCACCACCACCTGCACCACTACCTTCACCACCACCTCCACCACCACCTTCACCACCACCTTCACCACTACCTTCACCACTACCTCCACCACCACCTTCACCACCACCTTCACCAACCCCCACCACCTTCACCACCACCTTCACCACACTACCTTCACCACCACCTTCACCACTACCTTCACCACCACCTCACCACCACCTTCACCACCACCTTCCCCACCACCTTCACCACCACCTTCACCACGTACCTTCACCACCACCTCCACCACCACCTTCACCATTACCTCCACCACCACCACCTTCACCACCACCTTCACCACCAACTTCACCACTACCTTCACCACTACCTTCACCACCACCTTCACCACAACCTTCACCACCACCTTCACCACCACCTTCACCACTACCTTCACCACACCTTCACCACCACCTTCACCCCCACCTTCACCACCACCTTCACCACTACCTTCACCACCACCTCCCCACCACCTTCACCACTTACCTCCACCACCACCTTCACCACTACCTTCACCACTACCTTCACCACTACCTTCACCACTACCTTCACCACCACCTTCACACCACCACCTTCACCACTACCTTCACCACCACCTTCACCACTACCTTCACCACCACCTTCACCACTACCTTCCACCACCACACCTTCAGGACTACCTTCACCACCACCACCACCTTCACCACCACCTCCATACCACCTTCACCACTACCTTCACCACTACCTTCACCACCACCTTCACCACCACCTTCACCGCTACCTCACCACCACCTTCCCACCACTACCTTCACCACCACCTTCACCACTACCTTCACCACTACCTTCACCACTACTTCACCACCACCTTCACCACCACCTTCACCACTACCTTCACCACCACCTTCACCACTACCTTCACCACTACCTCCACCACCACCTTCACCACTACCTTCACCACTACCTTCACCACTACCTTCACCACTACCTTCCCACCACCCACCTTCACCACTACCTTCACCACACCTTCACCACCACCTTCACCACTACCTTCACCACTACCTTCACCACCACCTTCACCACCACCTCCACCACCACCTTCACCGCTACCTTCACCACCACCTTCACCACTACCTTCACCACTACCTTCACCACTACCTTCACCACTACCTTCACCACTACCTTCACCACCACCTTCACCACTACCTTCACCACTACCTTCACCACTACCTTCACCACTACCTTCACCACTACCTCCACCACCACCTTCACCACTACCTCCACCAACACCTTCACCACTACCTTCACCACTACCTCCACCACCACCTTCCCCACTACCTTCACCGCTACCTTCACCACCA